AAAGCGTAATTCTGATGTAATTATTGGTTCTATATTATTTATAAAATAATTTGGAAGTTAGGTACAGCGATATGAGCCTCAGCACCATAACGTCCCTTCCACTTGCTGACGAGTTTGATGTCAACCCTTTTCCTCTCACACTCCATTGTTTTACCATACTAGAAGTCATTAGCGCGCTACGCGCGCCGTAAGTTAAATATGACTTTTCCTTAAAAAATAAACAAACTATAATTATTTAAATACGCGATTAATTATTGCACGTACGTAAGATAAAGTCTTCTAGGTATAAAGTTCTTTGTAAACATAATTTTTAACTGTAAAACTATTTCGTTGCTGATTCCCTAGGTAGATTTTAAGTGTTTCCCATGACCGTACTCTAGACATTGCAACATATAATTGTCCATGATTGAAAACATCTCTTCGAAGATCAATAGCAATATTATCAAATGTTTGACCTTGAGCTTTATTGATTGTCATAGCAAATGCTAATTTGACTGGAAATTGACGTCTCCTAAATGTAAATGGGTATTCATTTTCGCAAGTGAATGAAATACGATTTAAAAATACTATACTATTTGATTTGTCCCCCCTTACAACTTCACATTTTAATAAATGATTCGAAAAATCTAATACTCGTAAACGTGTACCATTGCATAAACCTTCGTGTATACTTATATTTCTAATGAGCATGACAATGCAATTTTTTCTTAATCGTAATTCATATGGAGGTAAACTGGAAGGATGTAACGTATTTAAATATTCTGGTAAGACTATTTCTTGGAATCCACCATTATCACAATTATCCGTACTGTCAATTGCAGTATATATATGTTCTGTCGATATATCTAGTAAATCAGTGACTAATTTATTTAATTCGTCAACATCCACATTTCGAGCAGATAATATAGCAGATTTACTCGTTATATCAAATTTCTTTTCTACGATTAGCCTTTCAAATACACTCCGGACAACGTCATCATTCTGGTTCAAGATACAATGCTCGGGCAAAGCTAAATTATCCTGTTGGTCATTCAGAGTTTCATTGCCAACTAATAATAAAAATTTTGCGAAATCAACTTCATTAGGTAATACTCTCATATTAGTAGTAAGATTATATTTAATGAAATGCCTCCATAATTCACTGTATTTTATAGAAAGGTTTAAGGTTTCAGTTCGCGTTCCATTGGTTTTAATCGGTAAAAGTTGCCTAAAATCACCACCTAACACGATAACTTTACCACCGAATGGTAAATCATTGTTCATAAATTTTTGTAATGTTCTATTCACTATTTCTAATGCGTATCTGGGAGCCATAGGCGCTTCGTCCCAAATAAAAACTTTTATTTCTTTTAATAGGATACCATCCTTAGATTGCGCTGTTATACTTGACGATGAGTCACTGTACATAGGAACAGGAAGCCCGAATGTTTTATGTACTGTTTTTCCTTGTGGAAGTAATACTGCGGCAATTCCAGTGAATGCCATTGAAGATACTTTGATATTTTTGGAGCATAGTAAATTGTAAATAGTTGTGTAAATGAAAGTTTTTCCTGATCCTCCTGGACCATCGATGTACACACAATTGTTGTCATGATTATTTGTATCATTTGCTAAGTTCAAAACAACGTCGACAATTTCTTTTTGTTGTTCATTCAATAACTGATATTGTCGTTCTCCAATTTCTGCAAAGTTTGTTTGTAATGATTCATTATTGTTTTCCAATAATAGATGACTAACTACTGTTTGATCCATAGTAGGATAATCAGCTAAACTCTTACCTTCATAATTCAACAAATTATTAATTTCAGCGTATGCTAATTGAAAACTTATAATAGGATCATGCGTTCGCGAAAAATCTTCTGATAATGGATCTTTGAATTTATCCTATAATTCTTCAGGATGTATTGGTTGGCAGTGTATTAAAATACGAACAAACAATTGTCGAAGTCTACGTGGCATCATCCATATTGTTGCTTCCTGCATTGCTTTAGTCCATTCTTGGTCATCTTCTATTAATCCTAATTCTAGGCAAGCTGCTGTAAACGAAAGTTGAAGTATACCATTAACTGTTTTTAATGAATCAAAGCTCGTAGCTCCCCTTACATGCAATAATAACAATTTTAAGTGAAATAGTTCAAGCTGTGTAGGACTTACAGAAAACATTCGTCCGATGCAATCAAAAGACTTTTTACGTGTTGCCCATTTCGTCACCATAATACCATTAATCTTTTCTTTCTTATAAGTAAAAAAGGATGGAATGTCATGATATAAATACTGCCGTGCAGTGTTATTTTCAATATTTAATTTGAAATAATCAAGTAACTTACTACTCGCTTGATGAAGATTTTCTGCAATGTTGTCTGCATTATTTGAAATTACTACATATTGATGATGTGGTAGATATGAACTGGTAACCGGTCAATAGTATGACTTTTATCTTGTAGTGGCTTACTAAAAATTCGATAACATGCTTCAACAGGTCCCACATATTGAGTTTCTATAAAATTATTAACTTCATCATGATTAATATAATTTGTAGATACATTTTCATTTCCAATAGTTACAGTTGCTGCATCGTGGCCTTTATAAATATATTTATATAAATATTTCACCGCTCGGACACTTGATACAATTTCTACATTTATGTGACAATCTAACATTTCTAATAATTCACAACAGTATGGTACTACCCATCGATTATCTACTACATGACCATTATGTAATTCATAAGTAACACCATTATTTGATCTTTGATAATGAGGATAGCCAATTTCATCCATAATAGTTTCACTTTGGAATTGTTTGGGAAATTTTTTTGAACATTTATTATTTACCATACACCAATCACCGCAAGGTCCGTGTGTCATATTTCTCACAACTATGTCATATAATATAGGATCAATATCTTTATTTGGAAGTTCAGCTGATATAAATTTATTAACCATTTCAGGTGTGGTTATTTTATAACCGCTTTTTAATGTTATTAGTAAATGCATGTGCGGTAAACCACGTTTTTGAAATTCTATAACATACACGTAAGATGCTACCTCTCCAAAAAAGTTTTTTTTTATAACTAAGTCAAGTAGACGATTTTTTTTTAAATGAAATACGCGAGCTACAATATCGGGTCGATCACAAGCCTCTTGGCCTGGTAAAAGATTTTCTTGCATCTCTCTCCATTGAGGATTACAAGTCATGGTGAGAAAAATGTCTGGTTTACCAGTTTTAGCAACTAAAGCCATTGCATCTTGATAACTTTGTTGCATATGTCGGGGTGAACCTAAAAAAGTTGATGGTAATATAATAGTTTTTCCTACTTGCCCATCAATATCATTAGCAGAATTTTGTAAATAATCATGTAATCCTTGGTACGTGTCTGCTTTTATTTCTTTTTGATGATCTTTGCACCATTGAATCCTATCTTTTTCGATTTTAACATAAGAGTCTACTACCCACTGCTGAAATAATCGACGACCCATTAAAATAGCATTAAATTCATTAAGCCTTACAGCAATTTTATATTTTGTATATGCTAATCGCGTTATTCGTCGAGTTGGGTCATTGTCATTCATCTTGATACGTTCTAAATTTCTGTGCTAACCTGGTGATCCGTAAGGATAAAACAGTGGATATATCCATGGTTCCACGTTTGGATCCATAGTACTTACACATTGTAAAATTTTTGTGCTTTTGTTCCTAATAGTAACATAAGATTCTGGAATTTCACCATCGGCAGTGGTTGAAAAAATAGCAGCTACCTCATTTGTTCGTTGAAAATTAAATCTGCGCCCGTCAGTTCCTGGTTTTAAAGAAAATAATAACTGTAATTCAAGTTCATTCTCATCATTCATTAGCAATCGCTGATCGTTTATTTCTTGTTTCATCATTGCATAAGACTCTGCAAAAACATTATTCTCTCGTATTATCTTGTCCAAGATTGAAATTGTTTCATAATCAAAATGAGGATTTCGAGACATTCTGACATCAAGAGCTTCATTTTGATCAACAAAAAACAGTTGTCCATATGCCGGGTTTTCATTTTCACAAGGATACAAAGCTGTGTCAATTTGATAATAAATTTGTCCATGAATTTTGAAACAATATGGTCCTCGACGGCAAGATTGGAAATTAACTAAATTAGCATTGAAAGAGGCGAATGATAGTGAATTATTGTAATTACGAATGTTTTCAAAAAAATTGTTAGATTTCGGATGAGTTGCATCAAATAAAGATGTGAGTTCTTGAGGAAAATCTCGTGTTTCGTTCAAAGCTACTGCCCCATGGAAACAGCAATCATTAAAAGATACACCTTTGTTACTAACTTTTTCACCGTCAAAGTGTTTCGCATTGCAATGTGAACATAGAACATCCATTTTCCCTAAATAATCTTGCTGTAATGGAGTATTTCGACGGATATCATATACAGATTCACGTGCAATTTGACGTTTATTTCTCTGGTATTGTGCATTTTTTAAGCGTCTTTGAATTTGATATTCTTGTTCTTCCTCTGGGATTCGAACAATTTTTTTTCTACCCATTGTAAGTCAAAATTGTAAATTCTATTGTCAGTTAAAATTCATAAAAGTGTTTCAAAGAATTATAATATATTGTAGTTGTAGTTTAGTAGGTTTTTTTTATTATTGTTACTTTGTTGTTATTTTATTGTTGTATTTGGTATAGTATTGATATTTGGTATAGTATTGGTTTGATTTTTGATTATTAGTGAGTTGTTGTTATTAGTTGGTTTTTCTGTAAAATTTCTTTTTCAATTTTGTTTCTCTTATTTCAGTTTGTTAAAATTTCATTAATGGTTCAATTCTCAGTTATGATCAATTTTCAATTAATAATCCAATAAATTCAATTTGAAAATAAAAGATGATTTAAATAGCCAAATATGAGGATATGGTAAAAATAGCAACGTTAAATAATGATTTGTCAAATAAACTGTTCAGTTTTTTATTAAATATACTACAAAAGTTTTACTATTTGCAGCTATAAATGTCATTTGTTCAATATAAAAAAATTACTTAAAATTAATCACATAAACTTTTAATGAACAGCAGTCTAACAGAAATCAAAAAAGCTACTGATGCTCGTTAAACCTGAAAAAAAAATATTGGTTACTTAGCATAAGTATTTGTAAATATAATTAAAAATATTCAATTGTGGTATAGAATAACAAAATAAAACTTGTATAATATAATAGCTATCATAAACTGATATATATATATATACATATTTGAAAGAAATATAACAAATTGATGTTAAGATTCGGCTATGAAACTTCCATAAAACGTTTGTAATAAAGCTTGAATCAAAATTATATTGAAAACGTAAATTTAAAAAGAGTACCTTGTTCAGACTTGAAGATAAAGAAAGATACAATAAGAATTCCTCTACAGTTACATGTGCTACATGTACTCTCGTACTACTCGTACTACAACTACTCGTTGAGACACTGTAGTATCTAAAATAAAAATCATAAAATTTGTATTAAATCATATCGTTTTCGTAACTATTGTTTATATCATACTTTTGAATAATCTAAAATCAATATAATACAACGGACGTTACTATTACGTTAATAACAACTTTATTTAACTTTCTACTATCGGTTAAAAAATGATAGAGCCACCTCGTTTTTAGTGAATAACTTGAGCAAAAAAATTCGCGTAATAATGGGACTTGAAGAACATCGAAGGCTAAGGTTTTAGCTATAAAAGAAGGTGTGTCGCGCTTTATAAATTTAATTACAACAAAGAAAAAGTGTAGTTCTTGATTTACTTATATATATATGGAAATAGCGTATACATCTTGTTGATATTGTATACGAATAACATTGACTTGAACAAAAAACCTCAAAAATACCCATGATCGATTAATAACTGATCAAATTAATTTGCTTTTGGCATATTTCAAGTTTATCGATATCGTGCAGAATCTACTGCTTTTTAGCTGGGACAAAAATATTGATTAGAACCCGAGATATGGCAAAATTAGTACGACGTGGCTCTATCATTTTTTAACCGATAGTAATGCATTTATCACAATGATTAATTTCTTTATAAATTAGATTTGAGGTTATAAATATATTTTCAATTGATATTTGCATACTTCATAATACTTACAGTATAAAAGTCGAGTTTATGCTTTTCAATAATCAGCTCGTCTTGGTCTAATTCTTTACACTGCTCTTGATAGATAAAGATTGTTATATATTAAGTAAAGAAGCAAAAGTACGTAAAATTATTCAGTGTACTTGATTCGCTTTGTAAGACTTTTTGACAAAAAAACGTGGTATTAAACATGTAGATGTAGGAGGACAGTTGTAATGCGCATTCGCAGAACAAATCAATTCAATCGATAAAATAGATTCCGCGCGATTATTTTCAACTGTAATTGTTTCGGAAACATTCGAGAAATCATTGTCCATGAAATGACTATTTTAGTATTATATTTATTTATTATAAAATGAAGCTGTCACACTTGAATTAATAATTATTAGCAATGAAATATTAATCATTATAAACATTCGTACATGGTAAAAAGTATGTTCAATCGTGCTTATTGTTAACTATATAATTACTCTATATTATTATATAAAAAAATTTAAAGACTCGTACTGTAAGAATGTAAGAATTGAAATCAAACTTTATTTCATAAATAAATATTGGGCAGGGAAAGGTATTTATTATTTATTAAAATATAAATTAGCAATACAATGTTAAATAAGATTAAATACAATGTTTTATCTATAAGATTCGCAAAAAGACTTGTTTCTATTATTAATAATATTAAAACCACAATTATTTTTCAATTAAAAAAAATTAAAATCAATATCTATTTGCTTATCCATCACATAATAGTTCTACAAATCTTTTCACCAATAATACATATAATTATAACAGTACCAGGAATATATTATATGGAACATTCTGACTTGTTATTAGAGAATTTTTTAAAAACTATATCGTTTTCTGTTTTAATACAGTCGTATAAAAATGTGTTTAAATTTAGATTTACAAACATTTTTAGTATTATATTTGTTGTAAAATTAACTGTCACACTTGAATTAATAATTATTAGCAATCAAATATTAATCATTAAACATTCGTAATCACTGTATATTAATGTATAAAACAATTTAAAGATTCGTACTCAGCTATAAAGCAGGTTTAGTAATAAACTTTTAGATTCTACGAATCTGTATAATACTTTTTCTTTAACAAACAATACATTAAATATCTGTAAACTAATATTTGATAATATTTAGATTAGTCTTTTATTGTAATCATCAAAAACATGTTATATTACCATAAAACATTAATACTTTTTTGTTCCTACAACTATATAAAATCAGACTAAGGTAGCTTGTGCTTATTTATTATGCAGTCATAGTTAATACTCGTTTACAAATTATACCTCTATTTTATAAAGGTTTCGTTAGAATAATATCTATAAGAACCTGCTACCAAGGAACATTACAATAACTATGATCACAGTAGAATTACAATAATTATCAAATTGTTATAGATTTACTAAGTACAGTTATTTAAGTATTTGTAGGCATTTTTGTTAACTTTTATAATTTTCAAAACTACAAAGGAGAAAAAGTTTCTGTACGAAATCATGGTAGATTCTATTGTATTTTTTATACAAAAACGTCTATTGCCGTTAACACATATTTTCGCAAGTAATATCAAATCTTTATACTTGTTTTTACAACTACTAATAGTATATCAACTTACTAAGGTATAGCTTGTATTTTGTAATCACAGCATGTTTTCTTTTAATTATTCAATATTAAAGCTCTACTTCTTATATCTATAAGAAACTGCTATGAAAATACCTTGTAATAATTGATATCACAAAATTGGCATTAAAAATAATGCGTAAGTGGAGCATGTTTCAAGTCTACTAATTTTGATTTGATATTAAAATTAAAATTTTAATATAGTTTTACAGAGTTATCTTATAAAATTATTATTAAATTTTCATTTTTAATTTGTCATTTTAATCTCATCCTATTCTACCCTATATCTTATTATAGTACTTATATTTTATCAAAAAGAACAGTAACGAAACAAATAATGAAGTTAAATAGATAATAGGCTAAAAATCCTTATAGTTAGATTATGGAAGTTGACGTTTTGGAAACTGCACTACATCTTCTAATTCCTCCAAAGTCATTGACTTTACCTCTTTATTTAAAATGATGCTGTCAATGTTGTTGCAGGTAATGATGGTCAGAGCACCTGGAACAATAAGAAACATACATGTATAATGAAATGAAAAAGATACTTAAAATTTTAAGTCTTTTGTAGTACATAAAAAAAAAAATTACAATACCATCTACACTTAACTCTCCAGTAACTGTAACGTTAGCTCCAATAGTAAACATTGGAGCTTCTGTGAAGTTAATAATATTTACATTAACTTTGGTTTTAGCATCACAAATTGCACCACTGCCATAACTCATATTATTCCAGCGATTTTTGATCACTCTAAATGTTTGCTTGATGTATCCAGTAATGACTGAAAATTTTTTTAAATTTAATGTTTTTATAATAACATGTTATATATAAGTTATAATAGCGAAAAATTAATGCTTACCAACAATACCAGTCTTGTAATCCTTGATCGTATCAAATGTAATATTGATTGGGTTGTTTGGACCAGCACCAACAGTAAGTTTATGTATACCCAAGTACTCGACAGTGGAACTGTCGATAATAGTAAGTTCATATGGAACAAATCCTTCATTTGATTTATAATAATTTGCTGTTACAGCCTTTGATACACACCCAGTTATGTGCAGTACCTGTTAAAGTACAAAAAATATATATATTTCTATATTTTTATGCGTTATTCAAAACTTTATGTTAAAATAATAACAAAGTTTTCAATTTCAACGGATAGAATTAAAATACTATAACCAGAAATTTTTTAAATTTTCAAATAAAAAAAGTAGTGCAATAATTTTACATACCCTGTTAGCTTTAATTTCATGTTCGTATTGAGAAATCAATGGTTCATTCCAGATACAGGTAGAAATTTTTTTACACCGTTGCTTAACACGAACTTGAACAGTTTCAACTTTTTCATTTTACCAACTTCCCTAGGAGCATTCAATTGTTCAACATAGGCAGTAATTTCACTGTAACAAAATCAAATTAAAATTATACAATAGAAATAGTAATAGAAATAATAGAAATAGGTGCGAGACAAAACTTACGTGGTTTTATCTTTATCAACTAAATTATCAAAGACAATATCCTTTGATAATCGATAATTGATTTCCTGTTCCATGTTGTTGTTGGCTTGATTATTTTGGAGAGCTCCATTTGCTGCATTCTCTGCTGCTGCTTGAGTGTTTTGTGAGTCTTCCATCTAGAAATCATTGGCAAATAAATAAAATGACAAATTGTTTCATAAAATTCTATGATCAAGGTGTGATAACCTACCCTAACCTTATATTTTCACAATTCCCAATAACTATTTATTATAGACATTCATTAATAAAAATATATGATCTATATGTAATTAGACTACAATACCTTTCCATTTGTTGTTGAAATATCTTTTACTATTCACGCAATCCAACGATTGATAGTGATTACACTTGACACGTTTTTTTGGTCGACTGTTCGCTGTCTGGAGTCAGAAGTTGGAAGTGAGTGATGGAGCGAAATGACTTCCTGACAGTTCGATCCCCTCTGCCCTCTGCCCACTCATGCCAAACTACTAAGAATATGGCGACATCTGCCAGTGATATTTTACAATAATTTAAAATCATAATAACGCCTTAATAATAATAAATCACTTTTATAGTCTACGAAATTATATACTTACGAAATTATATATTTAATTATTAGACAACATTTATAGTAGAATATATATATAATAGAATTTATTATTACCTTACTCAATAGTAGTTTTTTTTAATATAAATATCTGCTACGACACTATACGCTACACTGTATCAATATACCACGTGACTTTCGCTCAGCCAATCAGATCACGAATAGTTTGCTGACACATCATTTTTTTAAAAGGGGATGCTGCATTGATTATTAACTTACAGAAGAGTTTCTCTAACTCGTTCCGAGATTGCTTCCTCTTTTCTGTATTGAGATCAATGTAAGTCTTGAGCTACGGAATATGCTTGAAGCTGATGACTTGATATACTATACACAAGTTGAGTCCATTGGTAAGAGCTTGCATGAACGCTCGATAGTGGATGACATAGCGTTCCTTATGATAGAGAGTAGGAAGAAGTTTCTGCTGTATGGATCCAGGGGGAGCTCAATGTTTTGGACATAGAGAAAGATCCTTGTGCGTATCGTGTAGTTTCTCGGGATATTCCAAATCAACTTCCAGGATGTAACCGATAGGACTATCGTTTGCCATGTAAAAGTCGAAAGTCTCCGGATGCTCAATCCAATGAAAGTTTGCATGGGGTAAAAATTGCGTCATCACCCAGCTGTAAAGATTGTTTACGTCATAATACATCAAATACTTTGTCTTCTCGTCCTCATTATAGTCTCTGCCCATATACGGATTGTTGGCTTTGATGTACGAGGGTGGTCCGTAAGTACTTAGCCTCACCGCCCGATGGCGCCACTCTCGCAAAAGAAATATTCTATCACGTAGTACAACCTTCTCGATGGTTACTGTCAAGATTTCAGCCGGATCGGAGTTGTAGTTTATTTTTGAGAGCGTGTGCAAGCAAGTGAGTCCGTTGATTTTTGAAAAATGGAAAAAGAGCAGTATCGGTCGGTGATTCGATTCTTGTTTTTGGAAGGGAAATCGCGCAGTGAAATCAAAAAGCGCTTGGATGTTGTATACGGTGACTCTTCTCCTTCGATGGCGACCGTCAAAAATTGGTTTAACGAGTTTGAACGTGGTCGCACGTCGATTTTTGAAGAGCGACGTCCAGGTGCTCCGAAAACGGCTACCACGGAGGATAACGTGACAAAAATTCACGATCTCGTATTGGCAGATCGACGATTGAAGGTGCGCGAGATAGCTAGGATCGTAGGCATCTCAAAAGACCGCGTGGATCATGCCCTGCATGAAATTTTGGGCATGAGAAAGCTGTCGGCGCGATGGGTGCCGCATTTGCTCACTCCGGACAACTAGCGCAACCGTGAGACAACTTCAGAGCAATGTCTGACACTGTTTAAGCGCAATCCGAAAAAGTTTCTGCGTCTTTTCGTGACAGTCGACGAAACATGGATCCACTGGTATACACCAAAGACCAAGGAAC